AGTGCATAAAAATGCATGTACATGGTGTTCCACTTTTTTTATACAAGTTACTTACACTTTTTGTAGTACCCTATGCTTTTATAAACTATTGTGTATGTGCGTTTTACAATATAGAACTTGGAAATATTATAACAATTTTATGCAAGCAACTCGGGTTATACAAATTATACTTTGGTGTAAATACGAGTATAGTTTTTATAGCTACCATTTTTTATGTGAACTGTTGATTACAATGCATCCAAGTAGTTCACCAATATATACGGGCTGGCATTGAGATTTCAAAATAGATTTTACTCAAGTTTGATCCTGTTTTTTCACAGGCTGTCAGCACAGTTTTTGAGCAGAACTGAAACTTATTCTGTACTGTATCAGCACAGAAAAACCTAATAACTAGGCTAAATGTCGCTTGTATAATGTGTCATGCTTCTGTACAAAGTATACACTGGTTTATTATTACCACCAGTGTGTGGTAGTAATTGGAGATTAAGCTACCCGTATATTTATATAGAGTATGGGATAACTTATTTACTGTAGAATACTTTATTTTCGCTAATTTCGCTGAAGGGATGATTCCGTAAAAATAAAATCCAGCGAATATACTTTTTTTCCTATATTTCACATTCAACTCATCAAAAATCAGTGAAAATAAAGTCCATAAAGAACGCCCAAAAAAGCCTTTTCAGCGAAAATTAATTCCCGGAAAATAAAGTATTCCACTGTATGCTAACACTGCGTATAAGCAGACAGATATAAGCACTAGTACATTTATTTATCTGTTGAACATGTGTGTTTATTATTTATTTATATACAATATGTGTGTGATAATAACTTACCTGATTAAAATAATGTATTGGGAGTGAACCATTTAGATTCATGAACATTGCAAAAATAAATTCTCCAAATTGACTTTTCAGGATAAAAGAAATCTAGCTATAATGGATTTTGATATACTTACTCATTAATGTATGGTATTACATGTACATCAAGTAGCACAAAATAACCGCTCACTCTAATTTAAAATGATCTAGCCTTATAAGAAGTTGAATTTTGCTCAAAATACAATCAAGTTTTAAGGGTTGAGTGTTTTAAATGACATCAAACATAGTTACTATAATGGATTAGACTGTAGCTAGTGACTGTGCATCAAACTTTTATTTGCAATATGATGGTCAGACTTTTAAACATTTCAATGCTTCAACCACTTTGCTAATATTTTCATAAAATCTTGATGCGTGTATTCTCATTTTGTGCCTCTTTTTTATACATATTTAAACAGGGTGAGGGGAGGGTTGTGTGGCTCACTTAAATGACAACAGGTGCATGGTTGCATTTAAGAAGAGGAAGGTGTTGTATAATATATATTATTTGTTTACAAAATAAGGTTAATGTAGTAAAATGCTGGCCTTAAGAGTGCACAGTAACACAGGCGGTCAGACTTGGTTACGTGCGTAAAAGTATTTTTGCTTACCTAAGGGGGTGTGTCTTAGAAACCAGGGTACACTCACTGTTGTTTTCACTTGACCCCATAAATACAATGAAAGTGTTTTAGTCATGTGACAGATCTCCTGATTCCTGCCTCACATGATAATAGCCTGATTCAAATTACTACAATTGTTGCCATAATAGTTTACCAGTGATATTCGGTGCAAAAAATTACTTGAAAGTATTGTATGTATCATATGACTGTTGCCAGTGGTTGTAACCGCCACCTTCCATAGATTATGCGTTGAGGTATATACATGTACATGTATAATCCTCATATCATACTGTGTCCCTTATAAACTGTTGTGCATATCAGTGTTGGTCTGTTTTACCTTTACGTACCTGTACAGCTCTCGTCTTTCGTCAACTGTACATAAGTCAAATCCATTATAATGTTTCCAAGGATGAAGTTATTCTGCAGATTATATAAATTTTCATTTGGAATTAATTTTCACTATTTTCACTGAAGGTGTGATTCAGTGAAAAAAAAAAAAGCCAGCAAATATACCTGTTTCCTATATTTTACATTCAACTTGTCAAAAATCATTGAAAATAAATTCCATACAAAACACCCAAAAAGTCTTTTCAGTTAAAATTTATTCCAGCTAAAATAAAGTATTTTACAGTACCTTCGTCAAAAGTGGAAGATTATATATAGCAAATGACTCGGCAAAAATTGTAATACAAATAAACTTTCTGTGTAACAATCAATGTATTTTGACAAGATCTGCAATGTCACATGTAGATTTTCCTTGTCTGCCACATAGAATTAAAAATAAGGGTTATGTTTGCTTTGTTCAAGCTCTTTGTCAATGTATTGGCAGAAATTTTATTTTTATTTTTGCTCAATGCATGTGCACTACTAATAAAGCAAATACGGTTATGCTCAGATTTGAATATGCATTTAAAGTCTGGTGGTGACTTTGACGTGTCGTCTTCTAACAAATAGATAAAATATATTCGTCGATTAAAAAAATTACGAAGTATGTCCCTTTAACTCTCTGACAATCCTATTGTGGTTTGTTTTTAGGCTGATGCATGCCATGCCTATCAGATTTTGCACTCTAATGGAATTCCAGACGAACGCATTGTCGTCATGATATATGATGACATTCGCTAACAATGACGAGTAAGTAAGCATGTATAATTTTAAATATCACCATTGTGGTTTGTACACTGTTATATATTAGCTGCTATTCTTTGATTTCGTGTTTTGATTATCAGTGTTTGAGACTTTAAACATGTAACTGGGTGGTATATACATGTATCAATCCTTAATTAATAAAGATACATGTATCAACCACCGAATTGTCGTTGACTTCTTTTGAACTTGAATATTAATCCGTTTGTGATCTCGATCAAGTTTGAGTTTATGAATATATATTTTTTCAAGATATTCATTGAATTTCACTTAAAATTGTCTTCTCTTTATGGTGCAATAACTCAATTTTTTCTGATCATCTTCAAATTTAAGACTCTTATTCATCACTGTTAAATATCAACCGGTTTCTAGATATTAAGTCAAATTTAGAAATATGCTATTCAATATCTGTGTAGTTAACTAATGTGTTTTTAGTATAAATCAAAAATCTAACAAGTGCAGTGTTTTCTAAACTCAAATCAGGTTATTTTTTATTTTGCCTAAATATATTACTGTACAAATTTTTGTTTTTTTAAAAATTGTCAGTGAAAATAGCGAAATTAATTCCAAGCGAAAATAAAGTATTTTACAGTATACAGATTAGTTTATTTCTCCTCATTCTTTGCTAGGAATCCCACCCCTGGTATCATAATAAACCAACCCAATGGTACTGACGTCTACAAAGGTGTTCTGAAGGACTACACACAAGAGGTAATGACAGTAATGACATTCAATTTATAAATTATTTTAATGAACATTAATTATGACATTATTTTGGTTTGGTGTATTTGTCATTTCATTATCATGATCAAATATTCAAATACTGTTAAAAGCATTGATTTTATTTTCAAAGCATGTTTTGTTTATTTGGCATTTATCGAGAATATGGATCAAAGACCATTAACGTTGTTGTACAAATTAAAGAAAATGTGGAGGCAGGAGCATTCTTAGTTTTCATCAGTATCTCTATTTAAAGATGCAATATGGATGAGAACATTATGTGATTTTTAAAATTGTTGTTTGGTACTGCTTACTTTTGACTGATTTGTCATGAACTGAAAACAAGTGTTAGTTCCATGAAAATTTTCTATTACCGGTAAGCATGTGTGTTTGCTGTCTTGGTACATCTGAACAATCACTGCATATGTAACGATACTGCTGTGTGTCCTGCAAACACAGCATTATTTGTTTATAATGCATGATGATGTTATTACGAGGATACCTCAAAGTATGCACAAAAACAGTACAGCAGGAGTAACGACCGACGCGCATACTTTGAGGTATTCTTGTAATAACCTTATTATTATACATCCTTTCCTTTCAAGGATACATCATGGGATGGCCAAAATCCAAAATGTTTAAAACAGAAGCAGCCAATTTCTTTGTGTGGAGTCCGGTCAAACCCTGGTGGCAACCATGTTTGTTT